GCTTAGGCCACAGCACAACTCACGTCCCTAGAAGGGGATAATGGAAACTTTCATTGTCAACAGCTAGGGTGAAGCTCTTCTGTATTTAAGCTGGTATATCCAGAACGCTGGAGGCAGTGGGAAGAGGGTGCAGGATCCACAAACGGAGAACTATGCACAGTAATCTGACATCAGAAATGGCACATTATCCAGAAACCAGAACACGAACATTTCAGTCCACCAGGTCACTCTGTTCCTGATCTTATCGGAAGGCATCCGCCTGAGAACAAGAGAACTTTGGCATAAGGGTGCTGAATCAAAAGCTCTATTTCCCCCCATTTGTGTCAGAAAAATGACAATGGCTTTCTGCCTTGCTATGAAGGTTAATTTACTTAGAAATATTACTCAGGATGCATTATTACCTAGGACTGCTGTTGCAAAAGGCCGTTTTGCCTCTTATTTATGCTCTAACTGAACTGCCACAGAGTGTACCTTTCGCATTCCATTGCCAGATAACTCCAGCCTTTACACTAGTGTTAGAAATGCAGGTATATAAGCTATTCTCTACATGCTCCTTGAATAGAGATGAAGTTTGCTTCAATCTTTTTCTACTAGCCTAATGTCTATCACTGGTTGGACAGTGTTCTCGAAGCTACGAACATGAGTCTGACCAAACTGCGGGAGGCAGTGGAAGACAGGAGTCCCTGGCGTGCTCTGGTCCAGGGGGTCACGAAGAGGCGGACACGACTAAACGACTAAACAACAACAACGTCTATCACTTAAAATTATGGTTGCCTTTTAATGTAGAAAAGCGATCACCAGTAAATCATCAGTGAATGTCTCGAGCCTAACTACTCTGACCTTGGTGACTTTCCCACCTCTGATCAGTTGCATTTTTGTTCTAAAAATATGAAGAGTACATAGCAGAAAGTGGTGTAAATAATGGGGTCAGCTCTGTCAAGCAATGAACACTTAATACAAAACTTTATGCAGAACGCTTCGGTTTAAGAAGGGACTTCCGGAACGGATTAACTTCGTAAACCAAGACCACTATACATACTACCCTATACTAGGGTTGCCGTATTTCAGAAAGTGAAAATCTGTACACAATTCGTTTTGCCCAAATTTGTCCAGCTTTTTCTTTTGCAAAATCTCAAAAGAAATTGGAGCGATGACCGGGAGATTAGACGTAGGGCAACCCTATCACTGCATGTCTCAGGGAAGGATAAAATCAGAATATAAAACCACATGTAAAACATGTGTGAACACCTGCAATTAATCCTTAATGCTTTTGGCCTCTGTTTCATGCGAAGGAGAGAGATCCCTGGAACTAAACTTGCCTGGGAGGGAGATACAGTGGTACCTCGGGTTAAGTACTTAATTCGTTCTGGAGGTCTGTTCTTAACCTGAAACTGTTCTTAACCTGAAGCACCACTTTAGCTAATGGGGCCTCCTGCTGCCGCCGCGCCGCCACGGCACGATTTCTGTTCTCATCCTGAAGCAAAGTTCTTAACCCGAGGTAATATTTCTGGGTTAGCAGAGTCTGTAACCTGAAGCGTATGTAACCCGAGGTACCACTGTACATCCCCAGGATGCGAGGAAGTGGCAGCCGGTCTCTCCTTCCTTCTGATTAAACTGCATTTGCACAGAGGGACATTCTGAGTAAATAGCACTTGCAAAGAGAGGCGAGAGAGAAGAGAAACTGAGAGGGGCAGCAATGGAGGACGACAGCATACTTGGAGTTCGATTCCCATCAGCTCAGAGGGGCTTATGTGATGAGAGCTTCGGCCGAAACACCAGGAAGGCGCCAGGTTGGTCACAGAACCGCCTTCTCAGCCTGCCTGCACACATGTAACCTCAAAGGGCGATGCGGATAAGCTGTTTTTTGGGGGTAGTTTCGATTCTTCCCCCCCTCTCAGATCTCGTTTTTCCAGAAGCAGAAAGAAAACCTAGTTCTGAAGGCCTGTCCGAAGAAGCAATAATAGAGCGAAGCTGATTCACTGGCGGCAGCGCTCACAGCACCCTGTCCCCCATGAGCCAGGCGCAAAAAGACAGGACAAGGGAGGCGAACGTCTCCATCCAGGCGTTTATCCAAGATTGCCTAAAGAGGCAGAAAAACCCCACAGGGCCGATGCTCAGCAGATGCTGGAACAAGCTGGGTGGATGCTGGCTTTTAAAGAGGAAACCAGCTTGTTTTGGGGGGCAGGGGTTGGCAGTGTGGCAGTATTTTCAGATACCAATACCTGGGTTCTTTTTGGGGGTGGGCTATTGATAAGGTTAAACCACAGAGCCTAGGACCTGCCGATCAGAAGGTCGGCGGTTCAAATCCCCGCAATGACGGGGTGAGCTCCCGTTGCTCAGTCCCTGCTCCTGCCAACCTAGCAGTTCGAAAGCACGCCAAAGTGCAAGTAGATAAATAGGTACCGCTCCAGCGGGAAGGTAAACGGCGTTTCCATGCGCTGCTCTGGTTCGCCAGAAGCGGCTTAGTCCTGCTGGCCACATGACCCGGAAGCTGTACGCCGGCTCCCTCGGCCAATAAAGTGAGATGAGCGCCACAACCCCAGAGTCGGCCACGACTGGGCCTAATGGTCAGGGGTCCCTTTACCTTTATTGATAAGGTGGACCCTCACATTTAAAAGGCCTGGGAGAACTGCGGGGGCACATGGAGGAAGGAAAATGAAGGCAGGCAGGTGAGGATGCACCACCCAGGGTGAGGGGGGAGATACTAGCTGGATTAGACTCTCCCAGTAATATTTGACTGCAGAACTGACACAGAAATGCAGGGAACTGTCTTATCCTATACTGACTCAGACCAGTTGCTCCGTCTAGTTCAGTGCTGTCTACACCAGGGTTTTCTATACTTGCATCTCTACCCGCTTTTGTACTACAACTCCCATCATCCCCAGCTAGCAGGGCCAGTGGTCGTGGATGATGGGAATTGTAGTCCAAAAGGTCACAAAAAGTACACTGTTTACCAACCCCCTCTGTTAATTCCTATGACGACCCTGTAAGGTAAGTTAAGAGGCTGTGACTGGCTCCAAGGTCACTCCCGAGATTCCCTGATGGAGTGGCGGATTTGAACCCTGATCTCCCAGGTCCTGGTCCATACAATCCTAACCACTATACCCCAATGGCTTTAGAGTCATTCTGCTATGGGGCAGCTCTATAAATTCAAGTAGGCAATAAAAATACAGCTGGTATCCGGTTTATGGACGGGATCCATTCTGGAGTCTGGTTGGATCCCTGATGGTTTCCACAAACCGGACCGGTGCTGTTTTGCGCATGTGCGCGGTGGCGTTGTTCTGTACATGCGCAAGCTGCGAAACCCCCCAAAATACTCCGGGGTTTGGTTTGCTTTCCCAACCCGGTTTTCCTACTATAGTGTTGAAAAGAAAAAAATTTGTCACTTTCAGAAGTATCTGAAATGTTTTCCTTGAGGCTTCGCATTTCCTTTAGTCTGGGATTTTTTATTTAATCTCTTAACATGGTTTGTGATGTTGTTCTTCAAAAAATAAAGTGTTATTGAAATGAATAAATAAAAAATAGGCTTCCACAGCAAAAAAAAAAAAGGAAGGTGCCTAGACATTCCACTCTGGCGACCGTAACCCACGTTTAAGGTGCCATTTGGCAATTAGCTAACATACCTGAGTTTCTAACATTGCTAGCAACGTCTGAAGGGCCACAGGCGCCTGAGGAAACATGGGTTGCCTCTACTGGCTGCGAAGCGCTCAGCCCAGGCAAGCCTCAACAGCACTGCACTGTTTTCCTAGGCTGGCAAGGACGTGGCAGGGCTTGTTGGCCAGCAGGTCCCAGGGCAGGTTACAACAATTTAAAAACCAGTGTGAAACCCAGGCAGAACGGGCTGCAGGTACAAGCGTAGGGTGCATCCTGGAAAAGGACACCTGAGGTGTCAAAGGCCAGGGTAAAGAGGTGCCCCATCAGTCTTTGCTGAAAGCTGTTCAGTGAAGGTGGCAGGTGCAGCTCTGTGGGGAAGGTGTTCCACAACTCAGCCTGCACAACTCAGGTTATCCTGGTTGCATTTCCTGGATTCAGAGGACAGGGGCCTGTCAGGGCTAGTCTAGAGTCCCAGGCAAGCCGATCCCTAAACCCAGAGCTGCAGCAGCTGCTCACTTGTAAGTTCTGGCGAACCAGAGCACACTGAAACACTGTTTAACTTCCCGCCGGAGCGGTACCTATTTATCTACTTGCACTGGTGTGCTTTCGAACTGCAAGGTTGGCAGGAGCTGTGACAGAGCAACGGGAGCTCACTCTGTTGCGGGGATTCAAACTGCCAACCTTCCGATCGGCAAGCCCAAGAGGCTCAGCAGTTTACACTACAGAAGCCACCCGCGTCCCTGGCATTTCCGTGCGCTCTGGTTTCCGTCACGGTGTCCCACTGCGCAAGAAGCGGTTTAGTCCTGCTGGTCACATGACCTGGAAAGCTGTCTGTGGACAAACGCTGGCTCCCTCGGCCTGAAAGCAAGATGAGCGTTGCAACCCCAGTCGCCTTTGACTGGACCTAACCGCCCAGGGATCCTTTACTTTATTCTGCAGTAACGTGCCACGACTCTTGAGAGTCCCATGGACTGCAAGAAGATCAAACCTCTCCATTCTGAAGGAAACCAGCCCTGAGTGCTCACTGGAAGGACAGATCCTGAAGCTGAGGCTCCAAGACTTTGGCCACCTCATGAGAAGAGAAGACTCCCTGGAAAAGACCCTGATGTTGGGGAAGATGGAGGGCACAAGGAGAAGGGGACGACAGAGGATGAGATGGTTGAATAGTGTTCTTGAAGCTACCAGCATGAGTTTGACTAAACTGTGGGAGGCAGGGAAGACAGGAGGGCCTGGCGTGCTCAGGTCCAGGGGTTCACGAAGAGTCAGACACGACTAAACAACAACAACAACGTGCTACGAAGACACAACTACGCTCAACTTTTGTAGGTTGGGCCCACCCTCACCTCCAAACCCTCTCCCCCCCAAAAAAAACCACCCCACCCCCCAAAAAAAACCCCAACACTCACTTTTTAACATTGGCCTCCCCGTTGGGGATCCTCCGTAGCTTCTTCTTCTTCAGGATCTTGACTGCTCTCCTACAGAGGGTTTCGGAGTCCAGCATCTCCTTGACCTTGCCATAGGATCCTTCCCCAAGCAGGTCCCCCATCAGGTACTTGCCTATGAGCTTCGCCCTTTTCCGGCGGGGCTGGTAGATCACTTCCGTAGAGTCTATGCGGTGGATGAAAGTATCCATGCCCACCGAGATCAGTTCGCTTTCGACAAACATCCCCAGCTGCTGGGAGTCCTCCATCGCGAATCGAAATGACCCAAGCCTGTTTGCGTTCCACGACGACAAGTGTGTGCGCACGCCAAAGGTTTAAAAATCCACTTTCCTGGTGTATCGGATGCTCCCTTTTTACTCCCAATTTTTGGGGGGTGGGGAAGAAGGATGTTCAGCGGAGGTAAATCGAGAATTCCCAAAAAGATTGTACAAACGTTTTAACTTACAAATGAAAAATAAAAGCCTATGAGAACTTTTCTCTCGAGCCCACGAGGGCCCTACAGAGATCCAGCACCTCGTTCCAATACTTATAGAGCTTTTCTTAAGCAATGTGGATTGGGGAAAGCAACAAAGTTGATTTACAGTCAGCTTTAACTTCTCTTTAAAAAAAAAAAAATCTCGTTTTTGCTGCTCCAAGTCTTTCACATCAGGTAATGTTCTCCTGAGGAAGTCCAAGGTATTCCCCCCCCTTCCTTGAGGACCTAAGTCATCTTCAAGAATACTTCCTGCGTTTGGAAACAGAAAGCTAGTCTCTCGGAGGGTGTTCCATCGCTAGCAAGGCATGGCAGCTCCTGTTTCCAAACTGTGGGGTGAAGAATCAAGGAGCCCAAACCCACCCCTCGGCTTTGACCACTCTCGCCACCCAGGTACGACCTCCGATGAGAGTCCTCTCAGCCGTTCGGAAGCTGGAACCAAGTCTTTTTAAAGGAGTTTTCAATACTGATTTCAACTGCTTCTCTTCCGCCCTTGACAAAGGATTGAGGCCTTCCGTGTCTAGTAGGTACTACCAGGGGCATCCTTCAACCACTTGGGGTCTACTTGACACATGATGTGTCACCCCACTGCTTCAGGTATTAAGGCAGGCAGGCAGGCAGGCAGCTCAAACCCTATTCAAGTCTCCCAGAACTAAGCACCCACAAAAAAAGAGAGGGGGGGGGAGGGGATGGTGCTTGAGCAAGCTCTCCTGACGCAAGTTTAAGCTTACACAATTCATCCAGCTTAAGCAACTGTCTTGAAAAAAGAGGGGAAGCCTTATTCTGCTTTGGGGGAACCCCTCTACCTTCAAGCTATTCTGCAGCAACGCCAGGCTTTTGAAGGCATCACTCAGAACAGATTGATCCCATTAGTGCCAGACTCCTGACCGATCTTGCTGAGAGTAATTAAGTCCCTTTCTGGACAGACACACACACACACCGTTCTGTTTATGTGGCCTTCCGATCTAAATAAGGAAATGCAATGTGATGTGCACAAGCCCAGGGAGTCAAGGGGAAATTATCCTTGGCACATGAGTTGGGAAAAGGGGGGGGAAAAGGAATTGGGAGATTTTCCCTTGACAGGTAATTGTACCGTTCCCACAAGAGACCAAGCTGCCTGTCAAACAGGTGGGGAGAATATTAACTTGGGGGGGGGAGAGAAAATAGAGCTTCAATAATCCCCAAGTATCTTCCTCTTCACAATATTGGCACCCACAAAATTAGGGAGTCCTTATGTGGAGCCTCCTCTCTCTACAGGAGAAGGGGTGGAAGGGAAATCTGTAGTATGGGAGATGCCTAGTCTCCCACGCATTCAAAAAATGTTAAGGGGCAGAAAGTACCTGGTCCCTTCTCAGCCAGAGAGAACTTAGGCGCTAAAAGAAAAACAAGTGCCAATTGGGACTGGGAGGCAATTAATGAGGGCTACTTAAAGGGTGATAGCTCTCTGCAAAGGCAAGTGGGGTGAGGAAGAGAAAATCTGACCCTAACAGAAGGGGCAACAGAAGCGAAAAAATAACACCACCACAAGGGAAGAAGAGGTAAGGGTCTTCCCTTCTCAGAAGAGTTTCTAAATTGGGGGGAAAGGGGAGGGGGAAGAGAGAAGTCGATTAAGGGAGACACCTCTGCTTAATGTAATACTCTTTGACTTAATTCCCCGTCACAATTTCTAACAGGAGGAATCGCTAACCCGTCCACACAAAAAAGAGAGGCAAGTATCCTTTCAACTCAGGATCACTCCTCCCCAACGGAAAAGGGGGTTCAATTCCTCATGGGATTCAACTTAAAAATTAGGGTGGGGGAGAAGGATCTTTCCTCAAGAAGGGTCACTGGCTGTCACCCAAGAGTTCCCTACAACTTCTTCCCCAATCTCACTCTTTTAAGAACGGGGTGGGGGGAAATAAATGTCACCCCCCCCCAAAAAAAAGAAAGAGTTGCGAATGGGGATTAACTAACGGACTGTCACTAATAAAAACTGGGGAAGAAACTTTCCTCCTTAAGGGGAAGAGGGGCCCTGAATTGCCAGAGGAGTCAATTAACAGAACTCCTATCAGTCGATTTGCCTTCCCTAAAGGACAGGCAACCGAACTCCCCCCCCCCACAAAACCCCAACACCAAGTGTGTGTCTATATATATATATAGACGCACGCACTTTTCTCTATTTAAATAAAAAATATAAATTATATAAAAATAGCTTATTCCACCCCCCCTCCCGTCCACAGACACACAGACCCTCCCCCTTTCCCCCCCCCTGCAAGGAGAGCACCCCCCCCAACTTCCTTCTCTCTCTCACACACAGCTTAAAATGAATATGGGGAGCCTGCTGTTTATGAGGGGGAGCCTTCCCCACCCCCCCAGGAAAAAAACCACTAGGCCCAAGCCCTGCGCTCAAGTAGCAGGGGGGGTGAGTCAGAGTCCTTTTGGGACCCCTCCCCCCTCGAGCCTGACGGGGGATAGGTGGGGGGGTTGGGGGGGGCTCTGCCGCTCCCCAAGGGGCGGCTATGTGGGGGGCTGGCTGGCCGGCTGCTCCCCTCCCCTGACTACGTCAAAGCCGCCTCGCCCCTCTCCTTGCCTTCCTGCCGCCGCAGCTAACACGCCGCCGCCATTTTGTTTACCTCCCCCCTCCTCCTCCGAGCATGCGCAGTCCGCGCGCTCTAGCACTGGCTAAAAAAAACCCCGAAGAGGACGCCCCGCCCCACCGCGGCGTCTTCTACGCTGTCATAGGTCATTTCCCTTCGTCGTTCTCGCCCGATTGGCTAAGCGGCCTCCGCCTCGCCTCGCCGGAGGTGGAGGAGACGGTCGGGGATTGGGTGGTCGGGGGCGCGGGGCGGAGGGCGCGGGGTTGCCATGGGGACGCGTAAGGGGAGGCCTACGCGCGGCGGCGCCAGCCAATGGGGTTGGACCCGCCTGACGCTGCTGGACTACAACTCCCACAATCCCCGGCAGGGCGCCTAGTCAGGCCGGGGCTGATGGGGGTTGTAGTTCGAGGTGTCTGAGGGGAATGAAAGAGGAAGAAAAGGACACGGTTGAATAGGAGCCGAGTCCTAGGGGCCACGGGGCCCCCCACAATAAAATATTTGAGGGCGGCCTATGGCCCCCACAAAGCTGACGGCCATGCCCATTCAAATGACGTGTGTGGATCAATAATGTGGGGCAAGGCTTACCTGGGTGTCCCAACCCCCCAATATTTTATTCAAGTTGGCACCCCTGAATGGTTGGCATCAGTCTGTCTGTTTAGGGAAGCTTTTAATGGTTGTTGTTTTTTTAACTTTTATTTTGCTTTAAACAGGTACATATCAATATAGACCACCAAAATGACAAAGGAAAATTCCTTCATTTTAATGGGGAAAAAACTTTTAAAACTACAAAAAATGTCGAAGTACATGGCACAGAACATAAGCAACTATGGGGAAGATAAAAGAAAGAGAGGAAAAAAATAGAAGAAAAAGAAAAAGGAATCTGAGCCAAAGCAGGAAAGCTCATCTATTGTACACTTCCGTCAAGCTAACAAGAGAGCATTATTCTTATCAAAAATGTTTGATGCATTACTGTATTTTAATATTTGGTTGGAAGCCGCCCAGAGTGGCTGGGGAAGCCCAGCCAAATGGGCAGGGTATAAATAAATTATTATTATTATTATTATTAATTAAGAGACAACGCAGGAATGCGCCATTGGGAGTGAAGTCAAACTACTTTGGACTGGCAATGGCGAATCATTGGTCTTTCCAAATTTCAGCAGCGCCTTGCGCAGCGGCAAAATTCGGTGTCCTCTCTCACTTCTTGTTCTCGTTCACTACGTTATAGTTTACAAGTGCTCCTTTACAAAGCTATTGCACTACCAAATTTACTGTACACTTGTGAAACATGGGCCACTTATAAACGCCATCTCCAACTCCTCGAAATCTAACTCCTCAAAATAATAATAATAATAATAATAATAATAATAATAATAATAATAATTTTATATTTATACCCCACCCTCTCCAGCCAAGACCGGGCTCAGGGTGGCTAAATCCAACTCCATCAACAGCGTCTCTGAGATATTTTACACATCAGTTGGGAAGAAAGGCGAACTAATGCCAGTGTATTGGAAGAAGCAAAGATCACCCATGTCGAAGCGATGATTCTTCGACATCAACTTCGTTGGACTGGTCATGTTGTGCGGATGCCTGATGATCGTCTTCCAAAGCAACCACTCTATTCAGAACTTAAAAACGGAAAGCGTAATGCTGGTGGTCAACAAAAGAGGTTCAAAGACTCTCTCAAGGCAAATCTTTAAAAATGTAGTATAAACACCGGAGGAGTCAAAAGAAACTTGATCGGACTCCTGCTACCTTAACAGCTGAGACCTTGGTGCTTGCGGCCGGACAGAGGTCAGCTCAGGTTGTGGCCGGTTCAGCCATCAGACAAACCAGCATGCCTGTGATTTAAGGGGGCAAATTTCTTTTCCATATCTTTATTTGCTAACTCCTTCCTTTTTGCCTGTAATTGTGTTTAACTTCTTTTACCTTTATCATGGGGACGCGGGTGGCGCTGTGGGTTAAAGCCTCAGTGCCTAGGACTTGCTGATCGAAAGGTCGGCGGTTCGAATCCCCGCGGCGGGGTGCGCTCCCGTCGCTCGGTCCCAGCGCCTGCCAACCTAGCAGTTTGAAAGCACCCCCGGGTGCAAGTAGATAAATAGGGACCGCTTACTAGCGGGAAGGTAAACGGCGTTTCCGTGTGCGGCTCTGGCTTGCCAGAGCAGCGATGTCACGCTGGCCACGTGACCCGGAAGTGTCTCCGGACAGCGCTGGCCCCCGGCCTCTTGAGTGAGATGGGCGCACAACCCTAGAGTCTGTCAAGACTGGCCCGTACGGGCAGGGGTACCTTTACCTTTTTTACCTTTATCATGAATATATTGATTTTCCAGTGTCCCCATTTCTTCCTCTAACTTTTTCATCTCTTCCCCTTGTTGTTTTTCCCCCAATTTACTGGATTCCCTAATCCTAATTCCCCTCACCACTGCTTTCATTGTATCCCATATTATTGGTTGAGTACTTTGCCCCTTCTCATTAATCTCCCATATGTCTAATAATTCTTTCCCTATCTTATTTACTGTTTGACTGTTGCTGAAGATCCTCGTATCTAACTTTCATCTTCTGGCTTCCTTATAACCTTTCTTTACTTTTAATACCATATTAACCAATGTGTTGTTGGTTACCTTTATTATTCCAGGAGGGAAACTTCTTAGGGCTTGGAAAAGCTGTTTGAAAAACTCACAGGCACCATGTCAAAGCGGGAGTCGGGAGCAACAGTTCACCAGGCGCCAAATGAGCTCTTTATCCAAAGAAACTGAACAGCTCAGGCCTAGTGAGCGCAGCGTTCCGGTAAAGGTAAAGCCATACCCTTCCAACATTTTTCCGATGAAAATAGGGACGTCCCATTCCATAATGATAATTTTACTATTTATACCCCACGCATCTTACTGGGTTGCCCCAGCCACTCTGGGCAGCTTCCAACATACTGTATATAAAAACATAATTCACCATCAGATCACATAGCATGTCCATGGCTATAGCCTGCACCCAAAAAATCACGCATCCACTGTTTCGTGGGGCCGCAATGGCGCAAAAACGTGGTTACAAAGCACGGATCCACATGGATCCTCAGGATTTTTTGCATTGGGTCACCCCAAATTGACCATCAGATCACATAGCATGTCCATGGCTATAGCCTGCACCCCCAAAAAATACACATCCACTGGGGCTGCAGTGGTGCAAAAATGTGGTTACAAAGCACGGATCCACATGGATCCTCAGGATTTTTGCATTGGGCTACCCCAAACTCACCGTCAAATCACATATCATGTCCGTGGCCACAGCATGAACCACAAAAATCATTCATCCGCTGTTTCGTTCAGAATATATTTTTTTTCTTGTTTTCCTCCTCCAAAAACTAGGTGCGTCTTATGGAGCGAAAAATACGGTAATAAAACATTAAACATTGAAAAAACAAAACTTCCCTATACGGCAGAGGTTTTCAACCTTTTTGAGTCCATGGCTCCCTTGACCAACTACATTCTTTCTATGGCTTCCCTGTGGGGCTCAGGAGCCCAGTTATGCCACCCCTTGTCTGCAGAGGTGGCAGCCCCTCACCCCTTTTTGAACATGCTCCCTTGTGGAGTGTCTCCTCAGCCTCCTCCCCTCTTGGGGATCCTCTGGTCAGTTGTAGGTGTCGCCCTTGGTCTCTGAGCTGCCTCCCCGCCCTAAAGAGAGGTGCCTCCTCACACTGCCCCACAGGGGCCTGGGAAACACCCCCTGGCCAGCTCCAGAGGCACCATTCGCCTGTGGTAGCCAGGGCTGCTGCAACAAACAGCTGCCTTTGAGAGGCAGAGATGCAAAAGGGCATCAGAGGAGGGAGGGAAGGAAAGAGGGACAGAGGCCAGTGTTGCCCACGATACCCCTTACCACCATTCTAGGCACCCCAGGGTGCCACGGCACACGAGTTGAAAACCACTGCTATACAGGATTGCCTTCAAATGGCTCAGGGGTCAGATAACTCCACACCCTCCCAATACTTCTCCAATGAAAATGGGGGTTTCCTAAGAATAAGTGGGACATTCCGGGATCAAATCTGAAACCGCAGCAGCTTCGCTAAATCAGGGACGTCCCTGGAAAATAGGGACACTTGGAGGGTGGGAAATGTCCCCACTGCTGAAGAGGTCAATGTGACTTCCTTTCCGAGGGAAGCCTGCCCTGGCACCAGGCTGGGCAGTTCTGCAAGCAGATCCCCTGTTTGTGCATTGTAGGAGGCTTCGCACCAGCTAAATTTAGTGCCTTTCCTACAGATCAGCAAAGCCAGGCTTTGAGCGAGAGACAGAGAGGGGTTGGGTTATGCCTGGAACCTAAGAGAAAGCCGCTAGCAAGTCCGTTCAGGGCGATGGGTGGGGAATCTCAGGCCTTGGGGCCCCAAATGCAGACTTCCAAGTCGACCTGACCTTCCAGATTCTTGCTGTAACACAGACCACACCCCTTAGCTGAAGCCACACCCCTCTGTCCAGGCCACACCCCTCACCAGCCTTGCTTTGCACATTCCTCGAGTGTTTTTGCCTGACCAAACTGTGTCCTGGCATACCTCTGATAACGCCTCTAGCCTGATAGGATGGCAGATGGAGAAGG